TATGGGGATACTTCAAACAGCCTGAGAAGTGGCTGAGAAGTTCTTGCTACCATAAATGCTAAGGACTTAGGGCTTTCGGGGATTCTGTCTACGGGACTGCAGCCTTCCAAGAAACTTCCTAGGGCAGCTTTTCCATGAAATAGCAATAACATATATAAATGGGCAAATCAATCAATCAAAAGGTCTACATTCAGCAGAGACACAGTGAAAGAATTTCTAGGTCCTTATGGGTCATGCTGTGCCAGACTTTTAGCTGAGATTTCATTTATACCAAGGGATTATTGTTAGCCACCTGGGGTGCTCTTCTGGGGCAGAAAGCCCTAGTGAGCACAAAGCCCTTTTCACTCCTCTGCTATCTTGGAATTGCGTTAAATTTTTCCATATGAAAAAGAAAACCCTGCAGAAACAATTGTTCTTTTAACAATGGTCAATACTTCCTATTTGTATTATGATCGGTAACTTTAATAATACCATTTTCATTTCTATTTGATGCTCTACCTGCAGCTTTTTAAGCAGTCAGTTCTTAACAATTCCTAACAATCACAGGATACCTAATAAAATACAGACTCAATGACAAAATATTATTTAATTTTGATCGTTGAGAGCTGTCAAGGGGAAGGGAAATTAGCAGGTTGGCTACTCCATCAACCTTGCCCCAGTTAGAATACTGATAACCTTCAAGCAGCCTGAAAATATTTCGCCATCTCAAACTGTTGTACTTCACCCAGCCAGCTGCTCCCACCAAGCCTCCAAAGTTGGGGTCCACCTAGAGGGTCCTCAGGAGGTTTTGTGATGCTGCCACAGATTGTCCTCATGGGACAAGAGCCATGAAGCTGATGGACTGATAAATGGTTAAACAGAAGGTACAGAGCCCTTTCTATTGTGCAGGATATGCGCGTGTGTGCTCACACACACAGATGTTGGACTAATTCTGGCCGCACCGTTGCTGAACGGATTCAAATCACAAGCACTTTGTAAAATGCCTTGCAAAGCAATCAGCATTTTGGAACAAATGGTGGATTTTTATTTATTTTTTTACAACTTGCAGTTGCTGTAGAGGGGGTTCTACAGCCAAGTCTTTCGCATTGTTTGGATTTTGGAAACCAAAGTAAGAAAAATGCTTTAAAAGAAGGGATGGCCGGCCATCTTTGTCCTACCTCCTCACTGGCTGCCCCAACTGTTTGCACCAGGAATTCTTGGAGTTCTGCCATGCTGGTTGGGGCCAATAGGAACTGAAGTCCAAAATATCTGGACAGCACCAGAGTTCTCCAGAATCTTCCTCAGCCCGAGTGGAGGGGCAGGGAGTTGGATTTGGGACCCTCTAGAGGTGCTGTTAGGTACTGCAGGTGGCGCAGTGGTTGAAACCGCGGAGCTGCTGGGCTGGTGGATCGAAAGGTCGCCGGTTCGAATCTGCACAACGCGGAGCGTCCCGTTGCTCCGCCCCAGCTCCTGCCCACCTTGCAGTTCGAAAGCATGCAAATGCAGGTAGATAAAAAGGTGGCACTTCGGTGGGCAGGTAACAGCGTTCCGTGCACCTCGGTGTTTAGTCCTGCCGGCCACGCGGAGACTGTCTGGGGAAGAATGCTGGCTCCCTCGACCAGGAAACGGAGGTGAGCACCGGCCCCTGGAGTCAGGCATGCCTGGACTTCCCGTCAAGGGGAAACCTTCACCTTTACCTTTAGAGGTGCTGTTACCCTGATGCTGGGAACAATTGGTGGCAAAAGGAGAAGGGGATGGCAGGGGTTGAGGTGGCTGGATGGGGTCACTGGGGCAGTGGGTGTGAGCTTGGGTGGCTTCCAAGGTATGGTGGAGGACAGGAGAGCCTGGAGGAATGTCGTCCATGGGGTCGCGATGGGTTGGGCATGACTTTGCGACTCACAAGGACAAGAAGTGCTGCCACATTGAACAACAGCCCTTCCCTAAAAAGTAAAGCAAGTTTCCAGTCCTCATGGGGTCTAAAGAAAGATGCCGTACCAGGAGCTCAGGCTGCGAGAACAGAACACAGCATAAAACCCCTCCCATCCAATTTTAGGGCTAGTGCTAATGCCCCACTCATTGCCTGCATCTCTTTTCCAGCTCCGATATCCCACAGCAACATACTCTCAGCAAGCCAGAGTGCCTTCCAAAGCTGACAGCATGAGCAGATTAAAAAAGAAATCTTGGGTCACTTCCCAGCTCCTCAATCACTACCACGTTATCCCCTAACCTTTCAGGTCTGAGCCAGCCAGGGCTCTCTGGAAAGGAGTGTCGTGTGCCATGGGAAAATAATGAGATTGAATTAACAGTAATAATTCTAACGAGGAAAGGACCCTGCAAGCCCCAAGGGAGCCAAATATGGAGGAGGCTCGCTGCAGCTCTGAATGAGTCACCGCAGCATCAGACTCCTCTAAAGGGCCTCTGTGGAGCGGGGTGGTATTTTGGCTGACTCCATGCAAGGGGCGTGATGGATTCCGGGAATGGCTTCAGGGAGGTCCAGCCATGCAGTTGTGAAGGAACCTGTCCAGTGCATCTCGCTTCCTTGCCCTGGTTCTTTCCAATCCAACTTCTTCGGGGTTGTGGGAGATTCCAGCCAGTCTCTGTGAGGTCACTGGGTCTCTGAGCTGCTCCAAAGAGGCGCCAACGCATCACCCATCCTCAAAAGGAGATGCCCTCCCATGCCTCTGCATGAGTCACCGTTCTAAGCATAGCACCTTCCCATCAGCGTCAGCTGGGATGGCACTAACCCTTTGTCTTTGTGGCAGGATCCTGATCCAAAGGACAATTTTCTGCTTCAGTGCCTGGCACATCACCTCTAGAGGGTCACTAATGGCACCAAAAATTAGTTGGTTCAATGCCTACCGATGCAAGGACCCCACAAACCCCCCCACCATTTGATCCCCAAAACACCCCTGTGAGGTGGGCAATTGGGCCAAATTCATCCAGGAGCTTCAAATCTGGATTTCCTGAATCCCACCAATGCTCTCACCACTGCCCTACACTGGATCTCCGGTAAGTAGCCATCTGCTGAAAACCTCTATCAAATCCCTGAGAAGCCCATGCTCAGAAGAGTCTTCCTGTTACAACCCTGCATGAGTCTCTGGCCATTGTTCTGTACAGGTAATCATGCAGGGAAAGAATAAACAACTCCACATGCAGGCAAGCCAAAACTTTTTACACAAAAACACCTTTTTTGCACAGGAACAGAGTGTGTCTTTAGCTTCTAATCAGGGTGACAGTGGTGTGGGGGCGTAGAAGAGATACTCCTAGCCAGCCTTAACCATCTTCTGTTCTCCCTTGTGGGCTGTAAAAAACAGTTTGCACCCAAATTATGCCTGGTTAACCAAGAAACATGCAAGTTGCATCCAGACTTGCTCTTCCTTAAAGCAAATCCACTGAAATCCATGGGACAGACAATAATCTAGCAGGCATCTCATTGAGCTCAATGGCTCTTTTCTAAGTACAGCTGAGTTTGTACCAATGCAATGCACAGGACTGATTTTTTTTATCTACCCTCGGGGCTTACATAGAAGGAAGGCCACACAAATGCTTCAAAACTGTGAACATGAAAAAAGTACTACAAAAATCAAGAGGGTGATGATAAAGAAAAGGATTCTACCCTGAAAATTATCTTTGCAAAATCAGCTGCTTCCATATAATTTTGTCAAGGATGGAGGGAAGCTAATTGCAATTGTTAGGGCTAACAATTGATACAGAAGTGGAAGAACTGGCAGGCAGCAAAGAGAGAAAGACTGAGAGAGAAGCCAAACCAATTTGCAAGCTTATGACTTACACAGAACCCTTTGGCATACCTGTTGTGGAGCCTTGTGTAATGCTGAAGCTGGCACAGTTAAGCCAGCTTAGGCGAAAAACGGACTTTGCATTAGACCCACACTAACTTTACCATGCTTATACAGCAGTTCTGAACTGAGCTGGCCCAAGAATGAGGCCAGGCGTTGAGACCATCAACCTGGTCAAGGATGATGGGTGCGGTGGACTTCTGCTTGCTTCCATCAGCCATTGCTTGCAGGGCAGAAGCCAGGTGGTTGTTGGTGGGCAAACCGCTAATGAGAGAGAGATTTAAAGAGCATCTTTGCAGGAACCAAAGGGGGGGGGGGGGATAGCAGGAAGGGAAGGGAACGGAAGGGAAGAAAGGGAAGAGGAAACGGATGGGGAAAGGGGAAGGGAGGGAAGTGGAGAAGGAGAAGATGGGAAGGAAGAAAGGAAAAGAGGGGAGGGAATACAGGAAAGATGGGAGAGAAGAGGGAAAGGAAATAAAAACAGGTAGAAAAGGAGGAAGGAAGGAAAAAAGATAAAAGAAAAGGGAAGCCAGGAGAGAGAGAAAGAGGGGAGGACAAGGACAGAAGGGGATCACGCCCCCCCCCACCCACCCACACCAGGAATCCACCCGCAAGAGAAGAGCCAAGTAGTCGAGTAGGTATTTACTGCACTGAGTCAGAAGCGAGCTTTTCAATGTGGTGATTGAGTAACTTGCAGCGAAGGCCAGGAGGAGAAAGGAAAATGATCTGGAAAAGAGGCATTCGGGCGGGGGGGCTCGACTCCTGGCCCCGGACAGCCCCCTCCCCAAGGAGGAAGCCCCCCCAAGGCGCAGGGTGGCTCCGGGGGAGGGCGTGTGTCCCAGTTTAGCCCGGGCTTCTTAATTGCAGCGCCACCCCCCCTCCAAAACCACCCCACGGGGCGGGGAAGGGCGGGGAATGGAGCCACTTCGGGGAACTTGTCAAGTCTGAACTGCTCAGACTTGCTTTGGAAATTGCATGTTTGGCTCTTTTATTTCGGGGGGGGGGGGGAGCGGTGAGGAAGGAAAAAAGAAGACACTTCGGGGTGGAGAAAAGGGAAAGCTGCCCCCCCTCCATCTGCTCGTGAGAACAGCTTGCAAAGGCTATTCTGGGGAGGTCAAAGGGGGTCCTTAGAAGAAGAAGAAGAAGAAGAAGAAGAAGAAGAAGAAGAAGAAGAAGAAGGGGAACGGATTCCTCCCCCCCCCCTTGGATAGCGAGAGACCCTCAACAATGTTTCGTAGGATGGTGAAGGCGTTTTGTCTCTGGCTGTCAACCCTCCGGGTGGATTCTTTGATGTGTGAGTAGAACTTTTTTTGGCATCTCCAATCAGCGATGTCTCCCTATTAATTTTTATTTTTAAGGAGAGGAGAAATGTGGTGAGCAGATGGGGGGGCGCATAACCAGGCTGTGATAGGAAAAGATAGTGAGAAAAGGCGGGGGGGGATTGAGAAATGGGGGGAAGGAACCAGCCGCAGGAGGGCAGCTGAGGTGGGGGGTGGGCAGGGGTCGAGCCCTGATGGATTTTAAAGCTTCTTCCTCATTTTATAAACAAAGAAAAGGCAAAAATGGGCAGGTCTGTCTAAAATGCATCGCGTGCCCATGTCTGTACAGTTATTTTAAATTTAATTTTTTTTGTTAGGATACTGCTTGGACGAGGGAGGCAAAAAATCTAAGTCTGGAACATAGAAATAATAATAATAATAATAAGAATGATAATAATAAATGTTTCTAAAGAGCAAAGGAAACCAGGAAGAACCTTCTTTGCTTTGCCCAGCCAAAAGTCTGTAAATTCAGGACAATCAAAAATCCACCAACAGGAGAGAGAGGAAGAAAAGATCCCCCCTTCTATTCAAACAGTGGTGCTTCCCCCCGCAACAAAACCGCACCTCAATCCTGCAAAAAGTGAAATAAAATAAAATTCTAATTCTTTGAGTAGTTTATCGCCCCCTTTTCCCCCTTAAAATGCCTCTAGGGATTAACTTAATCCCTCCACACCCAAATCTGGTGCCCCCCCCCCGCAAATAATTGGGCGTAGCGTGTGTGTGTGTATGTGTGTGAGTGCGTGGGTTGAGTGGGATGGTTTTGGAAAGTCCCACGGCAATTTGAAGCATATTGGGGTGTCCATTGCTTGGGGGAAAGAAGAATTACAACTGCCAAAAATACCCCAAAGGAGCTGGGGAAAGCTGCATGTTTAAAATGTGTTTTTTTTTGGGGGGGGGGAGGTCTCCTTCAGCCCCTGAATTTACCTTTCATCTCCTCCCCAAAGAAATTTCACACCTTTCAGAGTTTCGCTGCTGCAGACAAACTTTGCTACGTGCCTTCTAGTTCATGTCTGGACGAAGTTTATGTCCTGTAGTTGGTTTTTTTTTGGCTGGGGGGAGAAAGCGGGCATGCAGATCCCCCGTAAATAAAACAAAATCTCTGTGCTGTAGGATGGAAAGTGTAGGCAAGCACCACAAACAGAAATACCTGGCTGGAGTGGTGGAGAGAACCGAATAACTCGCCCCCCCCCCCACAGCTCCCATTCATGTCCCTTTCTAAGAAATTTCCTTGTGAAAAGAAAACGATGGACCCTTTTTAAAATTGCAATGTTTATATGTGGGGATTTGGAGGGGGGAAGTGCTGTTAGTTTGGAAAGAACAAAGAATTTATTTATTCTTGGGAAAGGCAGAAGGGAAGGAGAAAGCTGACATCCCAAAAGGATCAGATCAGACATCTAGAACAGGCAAAGCAAAACACAAAAGACAGACAAAGCCCCAAAAAGATGTGGGGTACATATTTCCCCCCTAAAAGCTAGTCTTCCCCTGTTCCTTGGGAGGAGAAAACTAATTATATCCCTAATAAATAACAACAGCAGCATAATCCATAATCCATACCCTGCAAAGAAGGCAGTAGAAGGGACACCAAATTTTCCTCCCCAAATTGAGGCTGTTTCATTTTTCAAATAAGTATTGCCCATTATGTCTGGAATAAATTTTCCTTTCCCTTCTTTGGGTTTTTTGGGTGTGTGTGTGTGCACAGGTAATGAAGGGGGTTAGTGGCTTCTAACCCCAAATCCCACCTTACTGTACTTTGCCCAGAAAAGCTGGAATCCACAGATTCTTGGAGAGAGTATGGGTTAAATGTGGGAAGCCTCTTTCTTTGACCAGAAATCCACAGAGTTTCAGCCACCCCATTCCTTTCCAGATAGTTTTGGTGCGAATTTATCTACCTCCGCCCTCTCTCTCCCCAAATTTGATGTCTTCCACGAGCACTAACAGCCCCCCGAATCTACCCAAAGCCTCTGTATGCCTCAAAATCCTTCCACATCTATTATTGCTCTCCTCCTCAAATATTGTATGTGTGTGTGTGTGTGTGTGTGTGGGGGGCCTGCCATAGAATATAATTAGGATAATTAACCTTTCCTTTTGCTGTCCCAGAGGAGATTAATCTAACTCCAACAGGAGACAATAGCAGAAAATGACATTCCCCAAAAATCCAGGACTGCCCCACAACTCATTACGAGAAATCTGCATTGAATCTTGGCCCATTATAAACTTGCATTAATTTCTCTGCCCCATAAGGGGCAAATCCACACCACTAATCCCCATGGAAGAAGGCAGCTGATACATCCCCCTACCGTAGGCACCGCCAAACCCACCAACCATCCCAACATTTCAAACCCCACTTAAAGAGGGAGCAATAAACCTGTCATCTTCCATGCTGGGAATTCAGTAGCCATATTTCTGGATAAAAGCAACAGGAAACCAACTACGTTTCACTCAGATTTGTTCTATGATATCTTAACAATGTTTGAAAATGTGTGTGTTTTTTTAACGTTCCTCTGTTATCAGCCATGTAGATCTTTGGTGCAAAGAATAGAGTTTTAAATATAAAAAGCCCTATTTTAAAAAATAGGATCCAAACTCTTCTGGATAAACGGGTAAGAGAAATCTTCCCCTCTAGAGGGCAATAGATAATTTAAGTGCATTTTAAAAAATTAGTTTAGGAATAACCTCAGTGCAGCTTTTGGGCCCAAAAGTAGATTTACAATGTTCTAATTGAAAAACAAAAACTGCAGTGGAGAATCCATTACATGGGCTCATCTGGATAAAGGACTACACAGAAACTTATTCCACAGAGGGCAGGAGATAAACTTCCATACACTTCCCAAAATAGCAAAGAATCCATAAGGAGAGGATGACAGACAATCCACCCGATATTACAAGCACAGACATTCAATCGTCTTACTCCATAGAAGACAATCTTAAGCCCATTTTATATACTGCCTATGAACTGCAAAAGAGGGCTTTGATTCTCCTTTGCTGCAACGGACAATCAAATTTTGCCCCAGCCGCTCTTTTCTACAAATGAAAAAAGAAAAAGAGAAAAAGACATGTTGCTTTATACAGCAGCTCAGATCCTGTTCCACAGTAGTAGAAAAGGACAGGTCTCTGCCCTCCAGGAGGCTACAATTTACAGCAGTGAAGACAAAGAACACACACTTGGATGATCCAGCAGTGAGATGTACATGAGGGAGCCGTAGAAATTGTGGATTTTTTCCCTGCATGCTGAGAACAATGATATGCTTATGCTTTTGTCTTTGGGAGAATGAGAAATTGTATATGCATTCATATGTATATATGAATGAGGAAAAACTCTGGTCTTCCTTAATTTCATTGACTCATGGTGGATGTGTTGGGGTGAGCTTGTCTGGAGGAGAAAAAGTGACTGCTTTACCCCCCCCCCCAGCCTTTGCTTGTTACACTTTTATGAGGACATTTTGGAAAAAGAATGGATATGGATGTGAACATTTGTTGTTGGGGAACATGGAAACACAAGGACTTTTTAAAAGGGCCTTCTTCAGGCAGTGCCAGAAGGAGAGCCGAGCTCGAAGTTTAAAATTTCTTTCCTTCCTTTTGTGTGTGCTCCTCCGAACAGCATCTTGCGGGAAGAGAGTTGGGCTGTATGCACAGAGCGTTTCCACCCATAGAAGTGAGTGAGCTTTCGCATGCCTCCCCCCCCCCCGCAGCCCCTGAGTGTTGTAAACACAAAATTAGGCTTTCGTTCCTGGAGCAAATTTCATGGATTCCCCAAAGACTAGAGGTGATGGTTAGAGATCAGCGTCTAACTTCCCTTCTTGCACACAAACACACAAACACACACGGCCAGTCTTCTCCAAGAACAGGAAGTATACACTTCCTCTTCAGGGTGAGAAATTTGTCCAAGGAGGTGTGTGTTTTTTGGGGTTTTTTTGTGAGAGTGCATGATGCATGACCAGGCCAAGAAAAACTGGTGGTTGGCTGGACAAGCTTAAGCTTAGCACATTGTCCCGGGAACGATTCCTTTGCGCTTTACCATGTGGATCTGGAGAGAGATGTAATGCTAAGATGGTACGTGTGCTCCGTCCTGCCCTAGAACTGGTGCACAAAACCACCCGTGTGTCACCGGAAAAGGGGGATCAAAGGAGACCTCTTAGATTCCCAGTTCCCGAGCAAATATGTCTTTCCCTGCTTTTCCTTCCACGCATCAGGAGAAGCACCGTATTTGGAGAGTAACATGCAGGACGACAAAAAAATGTGAAGAACTTTGCTAGTTCACTGTTAAGCACAAGCACAAGCAAAACTGCAGCTTTTTCTTCATTGCGTTATGATCTGGCCCTTCCTCTCAGGAGCATACTGGTGGGGATGATGGGAATTGCAATCAGAAACATCCGGAATGGTTTTGAAGATGGCTCTCTTAACCTCTACACACAGGAAGGAATGTAGGCAAAGAAGGCAGGTGTTCAAAGAGCTCTGTGTGTTTTCGCAGTCCTTCCAACAACCCTGTAAGGTAGTCCAGTCATTATTTCCATGTTGAAGGGTAGAGAGAGACCGGAGTTCCCCTAAGCAAACTCCAGTCTCTCTCCACCCTTTAACATGGAGGGTGCAATCCAAGGCACGCTTGGGCGAAAAAAAGTCCTGGAATTTCCGGGGTGCTCCAGCCAGCTTGAAAAAAGTCGCACTGGTTGCGATTCAGTGGACAAAAATGGGCAGGGCCTTTTCTGTGCTGGTCCCCAGACTTGTCTCCATCTTCAATTAATTTTCATCATGGCATTGAAAATGGTTTCCCTTTGCTTCTGCTTCTCACACAATCAGGTCAGCTGCTGGAAGTCTTCCCCAAATTCCTGCTTTTTGGAGCACCTTGTTACTACAGGTTCCGCCGCTGCATTTGGCCTTGCGCCGCTGATGCAATTGGAGGGCAGCAAGGAGGGGCTTTGGTGCTCAGTCCGGTGCTCAGCAGAGGAGTGCAGAGTACAGAGGCCACCTGGCTGTCCAT